AGCACGTGCATTGCGACCGCAAAATCCACACACAAAATGCATATCACAATATTCCACGTGTGAAAACACAAGAGGCATTTCAGCAACTCATCACACAACTAATTTACCACCCATTCACGACCCCACCGCAACGTAATCTGTAGGTTGCGCATGAGATCACGGCTAGTGTGACATCACCACACTCAAGTACAAACAGATAACAGTCACAGCTGACTGTCCACAGTGCGTGGACCTGCAAGAAGACCACACTTTTCTCGGGCCATTATCTCCGTAACCGTTCAGCTTTGGACATAGGTGTTTTGGGTTATATCGGCATACTTTAACATAAGGAACACCCTCCCGAAGTTTGGTCCATTCCTCCTGGGACACCCTGTATATACAGGGTATTTCACGACTTTAGGGCATAACTGCAGGAGGTGATTTCCTACATCTTTGTGATCAAAAAAGTTAATATAAACATGTGTCCGATTTTGGACGGTTACAGAGTTATGACCGCTTTTTCATTCTTGTAAACACTCTCGTGTGAACCGCGTCTTATCATCTGGCAGGTCGCTATTTTTAGCCAGCTACAGACAGAGCGTTCTCATCATCTCAACACTTGAGAGATACCTAAGGCGTGGTGGGTTGGTATGTCTGGCCATGGCTAGTGTGGTGGCTACTGGGGTTCAGAACAGTTCTCATCTCAGTGTGTCTGTTACATTCACGATGCCATTTACATTTTAATTTGAGGAGTATGCAGATATGATTTATGTGTACGGGTTTTGTGACGGTAACTCAGTTCTTGCCGTAGCTGAATATCAGCAACGGTTTCCGAATTGTAGAATACCGAACCAGAGAGTGTTTACTGGAGTTCACCAGGCATTGTGAGATACCGGTAGACTTCCCAGCATTCGTATTGCAGCCGAGCAGCGTGGTGTTAATGAAGGTGTCAATGAAGAAGGCATTGTTTGTATGGTACACCACAGTCCACAAACGAGTATCCGAAGAATTGCCAGCCTGGTCTCCAGACTTAAGCCCACTGGATTATTGTGTGTGGGATGGATGAAAGAACTGGTTTACAATGTGAAGGTGGCAACGCGAGATGCTTTGCTCAGTCGCATTCTGGACGCCGCTGACCACATAAGAAACAGCTAGCTGAAGCTGCTACATGTTACCCATGCAGTTCACAACCGAGCGGCAGCCGGTATTGCAGCCGGCCGTGGCATTATCGAAAATCAACTTTAAGCACCGATCAATTCAAATTATAGGTAATTTCACGAAGTTAACTTTACATTCATAATTTAAATGTATCATGCATTATGCTGGTTTATTATTTTGTTCCGTTTATTGTCAGTAATCGTTACCTTCTATTCTGAGTTTAAAACGGTCATAACTCCGTAACCATCCAAAATCAGACACATGTTTACATAAACTCTTTTGATTACAAAGACCTAGGAAATCACCTCCTGCAGTTATGACCTAAAGTCGTGAAACACCCTGTATACACCAACGCATCAACACATTCATGTATGTGTAACTGGATCTTGTGGTAAAATCTAGTTGTAAATCCACTTATAACCTTCTTTTAAAACTACTGGACCACGAACACCATGAAGCTGAATCCTTCTAGAAGAACCAATAGTTACTTAGCCACTGACAATATTCCCAGCATTATTCGCAACCTGAGGATCAGTATCATGTTCACAAATCACCAATGTTCTCTGTCCTGAACAAGATGAACCCAGTCCACTATTTCCCATCCCATTTTCTTAGATCCATTTTAATGCCATAATTTTATAATTACATACAATTAACTGAAGAGTGACTCACCTGAAACAGGTGTGATGACAGCACAGTTAGCGCTCATTTGCAACAGTCTGTTCCTGCTAGACTCCAGCTGTTGCTTCTGTACGTACAGCATCGCCAATTCCTTCCTGCAAGCTCCTAGTTCTTCTATTGTAGCTTGATGTTGTTTCCACGATTCCTCCAATTCAGAACGGACCCTAGCCAGCTCCTCATGGCACAAATTAATTTTCTTAGCATCTTCTGCTTTGTAGTTCTCTAAAATTAATATTTTCTCATTTAACAACTTGCTGGCTTGTTCTTGTGACCTCAGTCTTTCCTTTAAAAATACAATTTCTTTTGTCTTCTGTCCGAAACCGAGGATTAAATTTTCTATAGTTGTACAATTCTTCTCATCAATAATATATTCAAGCCTTTCTTTCATGCCTTGGTGCAATCTGTCCTCACTTGCCACCCTTTCTTCTGCCAATTCAATGTTCAGTGCCTCTTGTAATTTCTGGAATGTTGCATTTTCATGTTCCAGACCAACAACCTTTGACTTCAAATCGTCTTTCTCTTGAAGAAGTTTATCCCTCTCTATTCTAACCTTCTCTAATTGCAGCAACTTTTCCTCAAGTTCTTTGCAACGCAATATGGTTGCTTTGTTTTGTTGATTATACAGGTGCTCCTGAAGTTCCTTTTCCTGTAATTTGGACTCCAAAGTTTCAAGCTGACCTGCTAATTCTATTTTCTCACCTTCAAGAGCAGTTAACCTTTCCATCCATTTTGCTGCACAGAGTGAAAGACAAGAGTCTGATACATTCACAGTATATTGTTTTTGTCTTTCCCATGGCCCACTTTCAAAACTATCACCCCTATCTTCATTGTAATTTACACCTTCAGTACTGCCAAAACCACTTACAGGTACGACAGCTTGACCATTGTTATTATCAAAATCAGTTACACTAGCACACTCCAATCGAGTAATTACAGCACCCCTACACGTCTCTGCAACAGGAGGCAGATGTGAACTACCATAGGACACTACACTGCCACCTATGTCACTGCTTGTTTGCAACTTACATACCTGAGATGTCAAGTCTTTGAGTTTATCTTCACTCATTTCCTTCTCTGAAACTAACCTTTCTCTTTCTGCTTCTAACCGTTTATATTCTTCAGAAAGTTCATCCTTTTCAAATGTCAACTTCTTCAGCAGGTCCTCTGCCTCAGAAAGTTTCAGAGTTAGTTGAGAAATTTCATGCTTCATTTGTTCACAGTCCCTTTCCACAGCACACAAAGCCTCCCCTTGTTCACCAGCACGTTCAATTAGCATACACTCTGCCTCTTCTTTTGCAGCCAACAGACCTTGAAGTTTCAGGTTCTGTACAGTCACCTCCTGAAAATCATTAATTTCTCTTTTCATCTGGTCAATACAACAATTTGCTTTATCCAAATCAACTTGAAGATCAATAATCCTTCTCTCATAGGCTTTTTCTATTTCTTCTTTCGCTTCAAGAAGACTCTGAGTTTTTAGGAACTGTACCGTAACTTCTTCTAACTGTGCTCTACTAGCATCATCCCTGTGCTTTGCTGCTTCATTCAAACAAACAACCTCAGCTTCCAGTGTTGCCTTAATGTTCTTCAAGTACTGGAATTGATCTTTTAGATCATTCACTTCTCTTGTATGTAAGACCTTTATCTGAGACATATCATCTTGTACCTTGGCTTTTTGCAACTCTACTTGATTTTTAGTAGTGCTCAGTTGTTCCCGACAGTCATCCACATAACTAACAAACTTCCCTTCATTCTTTCTACAGTCCTGAAGCTGAGTATTTAATTCATCAAGTTGATGTTTACACTTATCTACCTCAACTGCACATGACTCATGATATATTTGCTTCTCTTTCTCAAGTCTTTCATTTGCTTTAATAGACTCCCCAAGCTGTACAGTCAAACCATCTACTTCTCTACTCGCAATATGTGCCACCTGCTCTTCTTCAATTCTTTTTAATTCTGCATCATGGCAGCCTTGAAGCTGTGACAGTTTATACTCTAAGCCTTCTACTGAGCTCTCCATTTTCTGCTTGTATGCTTGCAATTCACTTTGTGATGCCTGGACTTGGTTACTGCATGATGTCCGCTGCTCCTCACAGGAAGCCAATTCCACAGTTTCAGCTCTCTGGTGCAGCTGCATATTCAGATTTTCAATGTCTTTCTGTAAAGACAGCATCTGACTTTTGTACTTCTCTTCCACGACAGCAGCTTCTTGAAGGCGTGCAAGCAATATTTCAATTTCCTGATTTTTTGAATTTATTTCTTTAGAAAAATCTTCCTGAGCATGTATTAATTCTTCACTGAATCTTCTATCAAGAGATTCCACTTGCTCTTTATATTCTTTCAGTTGAATCTGACATGCAGTTATTTCTGAAATATGGCATTTTTCAGCCTCATTAGAATCCTGTAACCGTAAGTTCAGATATTCAATCTGCTCTCTACACAGTGTCAACTCCGGTTCATCAGACTGGCACCTGGCAATAGAGGTTCCCCTTTCAGTATACTCTGACTCAATTTTCTTCTCGATTAAATTAATTTCTTCCCCATGCAACTTCTTACAGTGAGCAAAATCCAATTCAAGTGTTTTCTCCATGTTTAAAGCCTCTTTGAGCTGAGTGTTTAAAGTCACAATCTGTTCTTTATAATTTTTCACCTCATTCATGTAAGATTCATTAACATTTATACTGTCTTCGAAACGTTTTTTAATGGAAGACAATTCTCTTTCATGATTTTTTACTGTTTCCTCTGCAGCCTGCAATGCAATTTTTAAAGTAGCTAATTGCTCTTCATATGATAATACTGCAGAATTATGTGTTTCCAATAATTCAGCCTTCTCCATCCTGAGAATGTCTTCATTGCTTAAAATCCTCTGCAATTCAGTATTCAAGGCTTCATTCTCTTCCTTATACCTACACACCTCAGCTTCTAAAGACTGTTTATGTGCTGCAAGAACTTTCGGAAAGTTTGCTTCAGTTTCTGAAGCTTCTTGAAGTCGCAAATTCAGTGCATCTGCACGCTGTTTGTACGAAGACAGTTCCATTTCATGGGACTGCTGACAAGATATTATTTCAGCCTCATAGGCTTTCTTAGATTCAATTAACTGTGACAGATACTTTGCCTCAGCTTTTGAAGCCTCATGCAATTGTAAGTTTAGATTATCTACCTGCTCTTTATATAAACTCAACTCCATTTCATGGGAATGCTTGTAAGATGACAGTTCAGCTTCAAAAGCTTTCTTACAGTCATGTAACCGTTCTGAATGCTTAGTTTCTTGCAACTGAAATTTTAAATTTTCAATCTGCTGTTTGTACACTGCAAGTTCATTTTCAGAATTGTTTCTGGCTTCTAAAATTTGTTGTTCATAAATTTCTTTTTCTTTCACAACAGCTTCCATCTGTTCTTCAAGTACAACATTTTTTTGTTTAAATGACTCTGCTTCCAACATATAAGAATGCTTGAGCTCAGTCATCTCTTTCACCAGCTTTTCTCTTGCTTCTGAAGACTCCTGCAATTGCAAATGTAAAGACTGCAGTTGGTGGTTGCTAGAAGTTGTTGGTTCTTCTACAGCTCTGGAAGACTCTGCTGCTAATTTCTGGCAAAATGCCATCTCCTCAGCATGCCTCCTTTCCAATGCCGCTTTCTCCTTATCAAACTGATTCCTAGTAAAATATTACATGACATGGATAAACATTACATACATACATACATACATACATACACACATATATATAGCATTCCATAGATCCTTATGTTAGTCAGAAAGACCATAGGATGTGGAATTAGTCAAAAAATCATACAATACATATACACGAACAAATCAAACTATTGCAAAAAATTTACCAATGAAAACAAAGTCACAATAGTAGTAAAAGGTTCACAAAAGTAGTGAAATGCAAAAAATTTACCAATGAAAACAAAGTCACAATAGTAGTAAAAGGTTCACAAAAGTAGTGAAATGTCAATAAAATCCATACATTACATACACTTTGGGTTATTAGAAAGCATAAATTCCTCAACAGAGTAAAAGGAGTGTGTAATTAAGTATCTCTTTAGTGCTGCTTTAAATTGTGCCTGTTTATCTATAGCATATCTATATCTATTAGCATATGTGTGCTGTTAGAATAATGTATAGAAAATAATGTCTTAACACAGTATATCCTGACATACAATTCAGACAAGAACAGTGAATTATAAAATGTTTAAAAACCAATTTCCTTTACCCTAATATTTCATTTAATTATTCATATCTTAAAGATACATATATGTTTTAATAACATTGAACTTTATAATGACACACAAAGCTATACCATCCCACGATACATAATATGGAAGCGACACAAAATTACTAGAATCACAAAAGAATCATTGGGGGCCAACAAACTAGGATTTTTAGACAGTATGGTCTTCTGTGTTGTACTGTAGTGTAGTTCAGAGAAAGCTCACATTCCAGAGGATCTTCTCATATCAATCTTCTGGGTCACTGAATAATGCAAGCACAGCACCAGCAAGAACCAGGTGAAGCTTGTTTGGCTTATCCTGAAGGAGGTGATATGCTCACCTAAACACCAAGCTTTCTCTGAACTACAATGCATTCCCCTGCCAGTGACTGTACTATTCATAATCACCGGTGTGAAAATTACAATTCCAGCAGCTTTTCTTTTGTACATTCTGAATTTAAAATATTGACAGAAATCACCACAGACAGATCTCCAGAAATACATTGCTCCATTTATCAAATTTGGAAGAGTTACTAAGTAGTGTACACAACCACAAGGCACCTAGCAAAGTGGAAATATACTTGTAAAATGAATTCCTACATAACTCACAACTTGTGTTGCTAAAAATGTGGAAAGCCTTGTTCAACTCATATATGGAATTAGGCACAATTTTAGACACCTAGAAGGGGAGCCATCCTGAAGATATTCTATGAAGGAAAAAGAAACCAAAGTGAGCTGGAAGTGTCATGGAATCACCTTGGAATGCAGTCCCTTCAAAATGCTTACAAGGCTCCTGATCAGAAGATTAATAAAGTTTACACAGATATTAACTGCCAGAGGTACAGTCCAGGTTCAGAAAGGACAAACCATCATTATAATCCCATAATCAAGAAGAATAAAATGTTCATTGTGATATTCATGAAAGGAGGGAAAAAAGACTGGAATCAGATCATATTGTGATGTATTGTGCAATGAAGGCCCCTCCCCCCCCCCATCAGCGGTGGCATAACATTGCTGCCACTGCTACAGCAACAGGCCAGTCAACACTTCACCCACATCTGCCGTGGTGACGTGGCAGGGGACACCACGGTGTTTCTTCATGCCGTGCCGAGTAGATCCGAAGTGAGCCAAGCCAAGCTGAAGCACGCTTGCTGCTACACAGCAGTAAACAACTTTTGACAGTGTCGCTAAGCAACACCTGTAAACAAGGCAATATGGCAACAGGGAAGAGAGGCACTTTTCGTTGTCTGGCCGAGGGTTTATAAGAGAACTGCACAGCCACCAGAGTCAGTTGAAATGTAGCTGCCGCCAGAGACAGTTGAATGGATTCACCAAGATGCAGTTGAACAGCAACTCAGATAGTGAATTGTATAAGTGTGGAGAGCAAATGTGCAATAATTTGCTATATCCAATATGGTGTGAAGTTATTTGTCGCATTATACAACCAACACGTGACAATATATAGCATGAAGGTGATAAGCTAAAGGCAGTCAGATCTGTCAGACAGCTTGGAGTCATTCTGTAAAGTACTGGTACAATACAGAATACTATTTCCAAGGATGTGATGCAGTGTAGCCTAGTAGAAGTTTAACCAATATTCTGAGGGATCATACAGCATCCATCTCAGGGTCATATAACAAGCCCTGTTTGCAAACACTTCCTGCTTTCTTGTGGAATAACTTAGTCAAATCTCTTACTGGTAAAATGTTCAAGAAGCTTGTAAAAAAGACAAGACAAGTACGATTGAGATAAAGAACCTGATTTGCAAGTCCATAGAAACTTCAATGAGACTTATAACTCTGACAATAGTAATGATACTGGCATACTACCTGCAACTCACCTGGGAAGGCCTGACAAAGAATGACTTAGAAATGTTGGAACCTGAAAAGGCAACCTACCTGAAAATAGTATTCTACCGCTTCCATTTACAGTTCACTCCTTATGGTTGATACAATGGAAACCTTCACAATAAAAACAACTCACGACCGAGTTCCTACAGCCAGCTACAAAGCCAAGAGGCTACTTTCGGGAGAAGACAAAAGATAGATGTTACATGGCCAAAGAATTACAGCTCTGATGCCATGAATGACAGGAAGTGGACTACAGTGAACTAAAAGTTGAGACATGCAGTCCATTGACTGTCCACATGTGGTTTGCACCATGAAGTGAACAGAAGAAAACTGCCACACTGTGTTTGTGCCCTGTACACATGTGAATCGCTACTACAAAGGAAAACAACATGTGCATTTATACTTATTATTTGGAAACTTATTTTCAGCCTTGGGCAGTACATGACAGTATTCCAGGCAGAAGTATATGCCATTAAGGCATGTATTATGGAGAATATAAATAGGAACTACAGAAATAGGAATATCTACATTCTATCCGACAGCCAAGCTGCAATTAAAGTGCTTGACAAAACACCAGATCAACTTAAAACTGGTCTGGGATTGCCAGCAAACTCTCATGGAACTGGACAAACATAACAACATAACAGGGTACAACTGATGTGGATGCCGGGCTATGAGGGTATTGCTGGAAATGAAATAGCAGACCAATGGGTCAAGACTGGAGCTGAACATCCATTCGTAGGACCTGAGCCAGCCTGTGGCATCTCTATAGGAGTTGCCAGAAAGGCAATCAGGGACTGCACAAATATGAATCACAAAAAATTATGGGGATCTTTGACAGACTCAGGCAAGCAAAGGGACGAGGACCCTCTACTAAAAGAGCGAAGGAACTGTTGAAGCTAAACAGGAACCAGCTACAATGGGTGGTAGGACTACTTGCAGGACACTGTCACCTCAAAGGACATCTCTTCAAACTGAGACTAAGTAATAGTCCAACTTGTGATAGGTATCAAGTAGAAAATGAAACACCCACACATATCCTGTGCAAATGTGAGGCCTTAGCTTATTTAAGATTGTGTCACTTGGGTCAATATTTTATGGAACCAAGTGACTATTTCGACATCCCCACATACAAAATCCCACACTTCATTCGAAGCGCAGGATTGTTGAGGGGATAATCAGAAGGGAGGCACAATAGATCACCGTGGTCATGGTGCAAGGGCCAAGAAGGCCCACCCCTTATACATTCATCCATTCATTCATTCATTCATATACTTATTCATCAAAATTCATAAAATAAATCACAGCATATAAGTGATAAATTCCATCAGTTTGAACACCAGTATTTTCCATTCTGCTGGAAAAATTTATGCCCCCTCCCCCATCCAAATTTAAACATAAGTGCACCACTTGCCTAACATCATTATATGAGAATTTCATGTCACATTAACAATGACACATGGGAAAATCTTTGTCCTTAGTACATTTGCTTTATAAAAACTTGTATGTTCACAAGAGTAAAAGACTTAATAATGTTCTATCAGCTGCTAATGTTATTTGTGGTAATTGTAACAGTAACAGAAAATGATAACTGAAGAAAATTGTTAAAAATACATGTTACAGAAAATACAATGCCACACAAATAATTCCACAGGAATTTCATTCTCCACAAAAACTACGAGAGACCACTACTGGTCTCCTATTACCAAAAACCTCTGGCAGCAAGTTGTGGCTAAGCAAAGGTACTACCATGACATCTGTCTGAAGCAACAGGGGAAGTACAAAACTCAATGTAATAAATCTCAGAATTTCATCCACATTTTCCTTGAAAACCACCAATCTAAATCCTTACAGTAATTCCATGTTAACCAACATCCCACTGGATATTACCTGAGCTCTTCCTTGATATGAACAAGCTGGAGACCAAAGTTTTCTTCAAGTTCCGACTGAAGTGCAGCCATCTGTCTTTCATGCTCTAACATCAGACTATTATTGTTACTTGCCATAACAGCACACTTCTGATGTAGCTCTTCCACCTCACGCATCAACTTCTGAATCTGAATCAGGATGAATGAGATAACATAAAAAGGCATTATTCAGTAGGGCACTTCTGTCAGTAGATGGTATCATGTGCCACACACCAATGCTTACAAGAAAGAATAGGCTTTCTCGCTATCTATATATGTGGTCACTTTAAGGTTTTCTGTGGAAATATTATGGAGTTCTGTGAGCAATAACATTTCCCTCCAAGCAGCCTTTACATCTCTAGCAGGAAGTTTTATGGCAAAGCTTGGTAATCAGAGAATTAACCACATCCAAACATACATTACAGCAGTTACTAACCTCATTGGCAGATTTAGTTTTATGCTGGCTCAGTTCTTGTGACTTCTTTTCAAGGTCATCAGACTTACACTGAAGTTCACTGGCATTTTCTTTGATAACTGAATTTAGATTACTGATGACAGACTCATTCTTAGTAACTGCAACTTCAAGAGCTAACAGCTGTAAACATAAAAAAGGTTAAAAGCTTAATTTCTTCAAGTAGTGCTGCTCTTTTATTACATACATTATTTAGAAAATTCAGAACCATAAAGAACAAACTGGGAAAGGAAGAGGAAACAGATTCTTCTCTGTTAGGCAGAAGCTCCCTGCCAATGTTTCATGATGATGTTTATACAGTGTCAATACTGTTAGTTCCTCAGAACTCTAACCGTGGTAGAGGGGTTATACCATCTCTCACAGGGCTGGGGGAGCAGTTTTAACAGCTTACATCAGTGTGGGTACTACCAGTTTGGAATGTAGTGTCTTGGGAGCGTGGTCAGGTGTATAGTACGTTGTGTATCTACTCCTGATCTCCGTAGGCAGTGTTTTCCACTCAGGGAGTAGCTCTGAACATCACCATAGCAAGTGTACAGCCTCGTGTGCTCCACAACAGCATTTACCTTTCCACACGGCTAAAGTTATGAGGCACTAACTATATGTGTGTTCAAATTTCATGGTGACACCTAAATTTGTTGATGATCCTGCTCCTAGAAAAATCAGTTATGACCCGTAAAATGCTGGATAAACTATAGTGTGCCAATCTAGTTCTCATTCATACTGTTTAAACCAGGTATCTGAACCTTTTGTCATTCCTGCAACACTCAAGCTAACATACAAAGAAACTTGACCATAGCCTTTAAGGACAGGATTTAATATGCAGTCTCAGGTTTGGGACAATGGGCACAAACTTAGGAACACAAGGGTCACATTCTCTACCCATGTTCCACTACTTGTGATACAGCCTCTGATTGCAGAATGTCTGGCTCAGGGCACTATCACCACACTCCCTTCCTACTCCACATGTCTATATACCCAAAACCACAACCCTAGACACTAATCCTGGTCATACAGCAACTGCAATGTTCATGCAAATGTTGGTCACACTTAAACAAGAAATGTGACACACAACCAAGATCAAAATAATGTATCCCAAAGTAAATATTTTACTTAAAAGCATGTGGTTTATAATTACTTGATTCTGGAGAGTGAGATAATCATGTGGCTTGATGCCAGTGTCCCAGTGATGACCCTGAATCAATGCTGTGGTGGCTTTCAGTTGGCACTGCAGTAAGGCAACCTCCTGTGCAAGGTGGTCCCCCTGAAGTTGCAAGGCATCACGTGACTGAATAGCCTGCTGCAATGAGCTGCTTAACTGACTGATTATCCCCTCTCTATGCTGCACTGCTTCCTGGAATTCCAACAACTGGAACNGAGCTAACAGCTGTAAACATAAAAAAGGTTAAAAGCTTAATTTCTTCAAGTAGTGCTGCTCTTTTATTACATACATTATTTAGAAAATTCAGAACCATAAAGAACAAACTGGGAAAGGAAGAGGAAAAACATTCTCCTCTGTTAGGCAGAAACTCCCTGCCAATGTTTCATGATGATGTTTATACAGTGTCAATACTGTTAGTTCCTCAGAACTCTAACCGTGGTAGAGGGGGTATACCATCTCTCACAGGGCTGGGGGAGCAGTTTTAACAGCTACCGTCAGCGTGGGTACTACCAGTTTGGAACGTAGTGTCTTGGGAGTGTGGTCAGGTGTATAGTATTGTTGTGTATCTACTCCTGATCTCCGTAGGCAGTGTTTTCCGCTCAGGGAGTAGCTCTGAACATCACCATAGCAAGCATACAGCTTCACATGCTCCACAACAGTGTTTACCTTTCCACGCGGCTAAAGTTATGAGGCACTAACTATATGTGTGTTCAAATTTCATGGTGACACCTAAATTTGTTGATGTTGATCCTGCTCCTAGAAAAATCAGTTATGACCCCTAAAATGCTGGATAAACTATAGTGTGCCAATCTAGTTCTCATTCATACTGTTTAAACCAGGTATCTGAACCTTTTGTCATTCCTGCAACACTCAAGCTAACATACAAAGAAACTTGACCATAGCCTTTAAGGACAGGATTTAATATGCAGTCTCAGGTTTGGGACAATGGACACAAACTTAGGAACACAAGGGTCACATTCTCTACCCATGTTCCACTACTTGTGATACAGCCTGTGATTGCAGAATGTCTGGCTCAGGGCACTATCCCCACACTCCCTTCCTACTCCACATGTCTATATCCACACAACCACAATCCTAGACACTAACCCTGGTCATACAGCAACTGCAATGTTCATGCAAATGTTGGTCACACTTAAACAAGAAATGTGACACACAACCAAGATCAAAATAATGTATCCCAAAGTAAATATTTTACTTAAAAGCATGTGGTTTATAATTACTTGATTCTGGAGAGTGAGATAATCATGTGGTTTGATGCCAGTGTCCCAGTGATGACCCTGAATCAATGCTGTGGTGGCTTTCAGTTGGCACTGCAGTAAGGCAACCTCCTGTGCAAGCTGGTCCCCCTGAAGTTGCAAGGCATCACGTGACTGAATAGCCTGCTGCAATGAGCTGCTTAACTGACTGATTATCCCCTCTCTATGCTGCACTGCTTCCTGGAATTCCAACAACTGGAACAGAAATCCATAACCTTCAAGAAGGGTGAGGTTCACAGGAAAATACGTGAAATATATAGTATATTTATATTAACATCAACTTCACCTTCACGTGAACTCTAATGGCTGACGACCATACCAAATGAGTCAACTATACATCCTTTCTCTTTTATTTTCATAATTTGCATCCTGTTGTGTGCCACAGACAATATATAATATGTAAGAACTATGCTACCGTCAACACAATAAATATTTCAGTTATTACAAAATATCTTTATTACTGCAACATGTTTTGATCTGAATGAAAAGCAGTCCTGCCATAGCTTCAGGGTCTCAATTACAGGTATGTTTTGGTTTGAGAGAAACAATTCCTGAAATTTCTTTTTGAACATGACCAACAGAAAAGATCTTTAATAGCTTGGATGGTCTGTGGTATCAGTTTTTCTTTTCATTATTTCTCATGGTCTGTGACATGAGATATTCTTTTCATTATCAGTGAAGTAAGCTGGAAAATCGTGGGCTCAATTTCCGATGAGGTCACTGGACTTTTCAATTAACCTAATCCTTCCAGCCGCACTATGGCTTTCAGGTTGACTCTGCCTCTAACAAAAATGAGTACCAGGAAACTTCCTGAGGGTAAATGGCAACCAGGATGTAAGACTGACAACCTCACTGTCATTTGTGAGGTAGCCATCTAGAAAATGTGGGGGCCTTGACCTCGCACAACCCTCTGGGCCTCCACAGCATGCTACAGAGATAGCTTTACCCTTTTTTTAAAGCAATTTACTTCAAGGTGCTCTATTGCAATGACCAAAGCCTGGGACTGATAGAATCCTTTTTGCGCAGAGACAAGTTCAGCATGTAGTAGCATGACAACTCTAGCACAACATATATTTTCTCCTATGTCCCAAATTTCCATAATCTAACAAATGAGCAGCACAAAAATATTTGCCCAATTAAATTATGAAACTGTGAGCATAACAAGTGGTTTTGGTTACAGTCATTATGGTGACTTTCATGAGAATCAGTCTGAAAGTTCTCCTCAAGTACAAAATTACAAACACAAGTTTTCCTTCTGCCAATGTGATTGTTTTATGTTTACTTTTTTACCCTCGATATAATTAAACACACTCATTCTTCGCTACTCAGCAGTTGTCCAATATTTTGTTCTACTAAAGCAGCATCAGGTACTCTTAAGTAACAGAGGCTTAATATCACAATACAAGAGGTGCTAGGATGTTTTTAAGACTGCATAAAACTCCACTATAATACTAATAGCGGATATTTCATTTACTGAGCAGGGCAGTGGAAAATCAAGAAAGGAAAGCATTACTATTAAAACAAATATAATTCACAATTAACTTATAAATCACTTTTGCTGTCACCATCAGAATAAATATAAATATATCAAAGCCCAAAATGAGAAATGAGAAAATAAATAGAACTTTTTAACTTTGTGTGAAAGGAGGGGAAAGTTTAATACTTCAAAGTTACAGCCCAAATGCTCCCACTCAAATTGGACACTCAACAGAAGATGTCATAATTACACTCTCATAACTGATACAGAAAGTGTTAAAAAGAGGGTAGTGAAAAGCTATACTACACTGCATGTAGGACACAAGATAATGATCTGTAAAGGGGAACAAACAAAAGCAGATTCAGTGAAATCACCTTCCTTTGAATGCTTGCCCATCATATTTAGGGGCTCCTACAAAGTTACCCATGATAGCAGCACACTACTGAGTCATATTTCAATACAGTGATGGCAAAATACACTCCTGATGACTATTTGATGAACTCTTATGGAAAAGGCACCAATAAGGCTTCATTATCAAAGATCACCCTCTTATTTCCAACACTATATATCCTATATAGGCCAGTCACGGTAGCCGAGCGGTCTAAGGCATGCACTGTCTTCGCTCGCTCAGAAGCCGGGATCGTGGGTTCGAATTGCACTCAGGGCATGGATGTTTATGTGTGTTTTTCTGTGTTTGTGTACAGGTAGAGGCCTTGCGACAAGCTGATCACTCGCCCAAGGAGTCCTACCAAATGTTTAAGATCTAGTAAACTGAAGTTAAACAGAGAGTTTCATGGAGGTAGGCCTAGGCCCAAATTGGGGCTGTAGTGCCACAGAAAAAAAAATATATCCTATATAACTGATGAAGTATTCTAGAATTACCAAGAAAAATACAAAGGCAATGATGAAAACTCACCCTTTTATGACATTCCTCAAAACGATTCTTGTAGTCAGTTTCTAGCATGCCAGTGGAAGCATCAAATGATGTAATTTCTTTCAGTGCACTAAGTTCCTCATGTGCTGCTTCTAATGCTGCTTCTTTACCTGAAAAATATTGGACTTCTCTGTACTGTTTCATGAGAGATCATAATTTTTACTCATTCTTTATTCTTATTTGTGCAAGCAGAATCCATTACCTATCCAATAACTCTGTAAGGTTATATTCTAGCATCCTGTTGCACTGATTCACGTGCATGATGTTTATTTGTACCAACCGTCTTACAGTGCACACAATTTCACTTTTCTCCTCACTGCATGTTTCGGCACTAATGTGCCATCTTCAGGTGTGGTTTTATTTACGTCAAACCATTGCACTGTATGCNCAACATGGAGAAGAGAAAATTCTTGCCCATACTGGGACTCAAACTCCAACTTCTTGGTCATCTAGCCTATAGCCAGTTTCTATACCGACCGCACTATCCCAGCTCCCCAACAAAAGAAGAATCGTAGAAAAGGATCAGGTGAGAAGGGCACACAGCAAGCATAGGAGAGATCAGAAAACATGAAAGGCAGAAACCTCTTGGAAGACCTAGGCATAGATGGCCACATAATATTAAATGGATATTAACGATAATACGGTGGGACACAATGTGGATTGGATTCATTTGGCCTAGGTGGGCTCCTGAGAACTAGGTAATGAACCCTCAGAGTCTATAAAAGGCAAGAACTTTTCTGAACAGCTGAGCAACTATTAACTTCCAAAGAAAGATTTTGTTTCATGGAATGAATTAGGTAGTTAATAAAAGGAAATATAAGGTAACAAAACAAAGTTCCTCTTGTATGGCTTCTCTGTTTATAATTATTCTCTACCAAGTGGGTCAACAATGTTCTTATCACGTAAACAAACTTGAGATTTTCTTACCATTATTTGGACGAATATATGTCATTAAAAATATTTAGAAAAGAAATAAATTGTTCTTCCTCAGTATTTACACACCTGAAAGAATGTCCTCCAACTGTTTCAATCTGGTCTGCAGTCTTTCTGAAGACACCTCACCTTCATCTTTGATGCTCTGTTTACTATCATCTAGAGTAGTGGTGGTGCCACTGGTTCCTCCCGAAATTTCCTGTAATGAAGTCACAACAGGCTTGTTAAGTGACAGAGTATAATTCACATATCAAGATGGGTCAAATACAGCTTCAAATTCAGTTATCATATCATTTTAATATTATCCAGATAGTATACTGTCCAAATCCAAAACTCTTCTGATAACCTCAAGAGATGTTACTTACTTACTTATTCATGGATCTGAGCCCTTCTGGAGGAGCTGCCAATTCTGCAGCTACTCAAGGATTTCCCAGCATTTTACGGAACCCGAAGGTTCATTACCGTGTTCACAAGAGCCCTCCACTGGTCCCTATCCTTAGCCAGATCAATCCAATCAATACCATCCCATCCTGTCTCTCTAAGATCCATTTTAATATTGTCCACCCAACTACGCCTTGGTCTTCCCAANCGATGGATAAAGTCCAAAAACCCAACATATCAGTTCATGAGATGTTAGAAGCTTAAAAGAAGCTTAAATTAAGAGACTGTTACCCCCACCCCCAAGTGTAAGGGCCATTTGTGGTTTCTCATTCAACATTTCAAAAGTACATTCCATACACGAAGGTTGCCACCTCCAACAACTCCTGAAGACGCACCATACCACAGTGAAAAGTAACCTATTTAAGGGGCCACGCCATAGCTCAAGCGGTCAGTCGCTGGCTTCCACCACGGTGGCCCAGGTTCAATCCCGGGTCTGGTCAAGTGGAATTTGTCATGGAAAAAGTGGCGCTGGGCAGGTTTTCTCAGAGTACTTCAGTTTCCGCTGCCAACTTCATTCCATCAATTGCTCCACAATCACCCTCATCTATCATCTGGGGCTGGTACAAAGGGCCAGAAGTGGCCGCAGTACAAGGGACTTAGTTCCACCCCACTAGCAATAAAAAAAAAACCATTTAACACAGCATCACTTATTAAATATATAGAATACTGTGCTTAAATGGTTATCACTCATGCTTTGTTTCAGGAGCTCCTGAGTTTCGTTCTACGTACCGAAGCTGACATTCTGACCCAGGTTTTCCCCTTTCTCCCCAACCAAATGATGTGGCTTATGTGGCTGCGTGCACTGTATTGCTGCAATACAACGCACGCAGCCACATAAGAAAGACACATCATAAGACACAGTATATGGACAATTAAAACATAAGAACGACTCCCATAGCAGATGAATGGCATTACACACAACTTTGATATATGACATGTAAGATGAGAGATCTTAACAAGTTTTAATATATAAATTTTATTATTGAACAATGATGAACACACATTTTATATCATTTTATAAATGGACATTTGATGGCAGGCAGTGCAATGGTTTAACGTGATTAATACACCTGAGGATGGCAGAATGATGCCGAAACATGTAGTGTGAGGTGACAAGTGAAATTGTATGCACTAGAAGACAGTTCATATATACACATTATGGATAAGAAACTAATAATTTGATATAAACTCCTCTGTGGAATAAAAAACATGTGAGAGAGGATAATTCCTTAAGGCAGACTTAAAAATTGTTTATCGTTTTTTAATCTAGATAGGCCAGATCAAAATTTATTGAATACTCTAATAGCAGAATATGTAATACCTCTCTGGATAGCAGAAAGTGTAACTAAGGGTATGTGTAATTGATTCCTATATCTTGTATTAATGACATATGAAAAGAAGATTTAGTTTCAAGGTAATGCATGTTACCCACAAAAGAACAGCATTAATGAACAAATATACAAACTTGGAATAAGTAAAATCTCAAAATTTTTAAACCATTTTCTGCGATAACATTACGAACTTAATTTCAACACAATTCTTAATATTTTTTTTTTTATTTTAATACATCTGACCTCAAGCAAAACACCTTCCAGCAGTTTTTGCAGGCAATCTTCATCTTAAGTTTAGGTACCTCACCTCAAACACAAATGGTTGAATAAGTCTATCATCAACAGTCCTGCATCACATGCCTACATCAAATCTGTACTGAAAATGAAGTCTTCTTTCTCAATGGACTAAGGCATGCTATTCCATCCCTAATGAACATCCCATCGTCAGTAATCAAAATTTAAGATATACTCGTAAGCTGATAATTAAAAACTGAAATTAACTGTTTTTTTTTTTTCAGAATACCTGTACATGCAGGAAAACACCTGGCAGTCAGATGTTCACTGATTTTAAAATCATCTCTCATATTGTTAAACAGCTGCTGCCACATTCCCATCACATAATATGTGAACAAAATGGATATCTGCATAATCTTTGTTAGTGTGCTTCTCAAGAATACAGTTATCAGAACAACATGTAACTTCATCCTGATATTGCTGTAGCTACATGTTACGCTCCCTGCCTATCAGTGTTGCCAATTATGTCCTCACTGTTGGCATTCCTTACCAACAAACTCCGTGGTTTTAGCCCGCAAGCAAACTATACCAACTGAGTGTCCACTGCTTGTCGGCAAAGTTAGTGCCAACTTTAGTGGATACGAAGTGTCACGGGGTCAGTGTAACGAATCCCCATGGCCATTAATCTAGGTTTGTTAGACTGGAGCAGCTATTTTCCTTGAAATAGCTCCTTAATTATCTTCACGAGGCCGAGCAGACCACGTTCCAGACCCACTACTTCTTAGAAAATCTGGTAGCGCCGGGAATCGAACCCGGACCTCTGGATCTGTAGCCAGGAGCTCTGACCACTAGACCACACTTTGACTTGTAATGACCTCCCTTGAACACTGGCAAAGTACTGACTTCACNGTGGTCAGTGTAATGAATCCCCATGGCCATTAATCTCGGTTTGTTAGACTGGAGCAGCTATTTTCCTTGAAATAGCTCCTCAATTATCCTCATGAGGCTGAGCGGACCACGTTCCAGACCCACTACTTCTTAGAAAATCTGGTAGCGCCGGGAATCGAACCCGGACCTCTGGATCTGTAGCCAGGAGCTCTGACCACTAGACCACACTTTGACTTGTAATGACCTCCCTTGAACACTGGCAAAGTACTGACTTCACACAAGAGACACCCTGCATGACTTACAAATTTAATTCCTTCCATGTATTCAAGTGAAGAAGCCAAGGAACTGCTATCCAGTGATTCTACTCCCACAGACATTTCCTTTGAATTTTCACTATCATTTTCAATCTTCTTTTTCTTTTTCTGGTCACTCTGTTGGTCTGATGCATTTTTCTTCTTTAGATATGCAGCAAACTGAAAGAGAATGCATTAACACTTCTTTAAATTGAATCTGACGAAAGCCTTGATAATACAAAATCTCAAGAATCCTGGATAAAATTCTGTAAAAATTTCATAACAATGATATTTCTTGATAATTGCTAGATTCAGTCTCAACACAAATTTTATCAACAGACAAATCAATATCTTCCTTCCACTTTCATGGCAACTTTCCTTATTGCAAATTGAGTGAATAAATCTAAGGATCTCAAATGCAATGTTTTACCATAGTCCTGCTTGAATCAACTCTGCCAGATATACATAGCCATGTGGACAATTCTATAGCACAGGATCTTCCTTTAGCAGATGACAGTTATGCACCTATGCAGCAAATTATTTGAAATGGAACCGGAAAGTTTGTTACTGTAATCACATAAGCCAAACACTTGGCCCTGTCCAGTTCATATCCTCAGAACCCATCTCTGCAAGATCCACAGTCATATTATTCTCATATATAAGCTTAGGTCTCCCAAGTGGTGTCTTCACATAAGTCATTTCAATGCAAATGTATATGTATACATGTTCTACTTGTTCCATCACCTTAATTTGACCATCCTAACAGAAGGTAAGAGTGATGTTCCAAATCATTTCATTTCCTCCATTACTACAGTACTTCATCTATTTAGACTCAGCACTGTTTTCAAATATCCTCATCTATGGACTTCCTTCAGAGTAAAACAACCATATAAAAAAAGGATGTTCATTAATTTCACAGACTACAGCTGCAATAGAAGTCCTCCTTGGACACCCCCCACTACACCTGCATGTGGAAGAAGAGGCCAAGGTTGGAAATTACAAATTACGTTGCAACAATCAACGGAAACCCAAATCTGAAGACTTTTGACATGCATATATGACTCAGGACATGGAAAAAGAACCCATCCTACAGACGGGGTCTGAGAGAATGAAACCAAGACATGTCTATGATAAACCCTTCAAAATCAGATTTCCTGACAGAAGTGAATGGAAAAAGGGGTTTCAACCCAACAGAAAGGGGAAACTAATCTGGTACATAGATGGTTCCAAGCCAAAAAAGGCACTGGAGCTGGGGTGTACTGCCATAGTTCAAGGCAGAAACTTAGCTTTAGCCTTGGGCAGTATACAATGGTATTCCAGGCAGAAGTGTAAGCCGTTAAAGCATGCACAATTGACAATCTATATAGAAAGTATAAAAATAGGAACCTATATTCTATCAGATAGTCAAGCTTCAATTAAAGCACTTGGCAATCACCAGATCACCTCAAAACTTGTCTGAAACTGCCACCAATCCCTCACACAACTGTTCGAACAACAGATAAGTGATGGTCGTGGTGCAAGGGCCAAATTGCCATGGCCCACCCTTACACACACACAAACAATTGCAGACTTTAAACCTCTGTTTACCGACCGACTGACTGACCGACCCACCGACCGACCGACTGACCGACCGACCGACCCACTGACCCACCCACCGACCGACCGACCGACCGACCCACCCAACCAGACTGACCAGACCAACCAGTTAAAGTGATAATTATGATGGGAGAGACCCATGGAAAAGAGAACTTCATGAAGGCATTTCAGTAATGACAAAAGTGTGATCTAATAAAGTGCAAGTCTCACAAAGGACTAGAGTAATTTTGCAGATATAAATAATGACATACCAAAATATACTGCATTTGTTGCATTCAAGTAGTGTAGTGATTCATCACTCCCAAAGTGTGTACCTCCATCCCAGTCACTGAAGCAACCTGTATCCCTGAGAGAAAGATCTCCTGACTCTACCGATCTGACGGGGCAAATATATTATCAACACTGCTGGTGGCTACGGAAATCCCAGAGGCTGGTATCTTTGCGATGGCAGCAAAGAGCGAGTAAAGCTTCAACAACCTGAGAGGTTGCAATGCTGGTATTACTCATGAGAGGGATTTATGAAGTATGCTGTGGAGATGGCATTGGGTGGAATTATAAACATACAATGTTTTATGATGATCAGTTCAGTCAATCAAGTAATATTAAGGTTATTGCATCAACAATTTCAGAGGCTGCAGTGTTGATATTACTGCCTGCAGGGACTTGTGAAGCAAGCTGCTGAGATGGGCTCAAGTGGCATGATACACATACCAAACATCATCACTACTGGCTCCAGCATTCCAGTAATATTAAGGTTATTACCTCAACAATTTGAGAGACTGCAGTGTTGGTATTACTGCTGGAAGGGATTTATGAAGTATACCTTGACATGATCTCAGGTGGTTTGATATGCATACCAAGTTTCATAACAATCAGTTCAGGCATTCAAGTAATATTAAGGTTATTACCACAAAATTTTATGGGCTGCAGTGCTGGTATTATGAAGTACTATGAAGTACGCCACTGAGAGTGCTTCTTGTAACATGACATACATACCAAGTTCCATGAAGACTGGTACAGGCTTTCGCGAAATGTTAAGGTTTTGCGCCACAACTCGATAGGTTGTAATACTGGTATTACTGATGGGGCTTACAAAGTATACATATATATGTTCTTGACGTATGTTACTAAAATGAACATGTACTAAGACTTCATACGTCCGCCACTTAGAATAATCGAAAACAATATGCTTAGCACAGTCTCCGTAAAAATCAACCTTGCCTCATCCATTCGACGTAACTGGCAGCACACCAATAGCGTTCAAAGACTGAATATACATAGTAAAATGTCACATAAATAATCAGTCCTGTCATACCAACAAGGTACAATTTAATGTGCATAATCAAAACTAATGTCTTATAAAAAACGTAAAATTATTACCTTTACCCTTCCAGCTTCTACCTTCTTTTGCCTTCCTTCATCTTCCATTGTACTGTCATGTAAACTTGTATAGTGAGAAAAACTGTCCTTCAAGTAATATCCCTAACAGCAACTGTACCCATTTCTACAAATTTCTCCTACAGCCATTAACAAGCAAACCCAACGACCTTAACAACCATAACCTTCTTGCTTTTAATTACAACCCACGGCTTGCGAGATACCCAAGAACATACGGCGCTACTGACGCGTCTGGCGAATTTGTGTACATGAAAAAAAAGCTACTTACTGAACAGGCCAATACGTTGTGCCGGGATCGGCTAGCATAGCGCAGTCGGTACTGGTCGCTATCGGTCGGTATAGCGACTGACGACGGGCTGGACCGGCTGGACGATGAAGGTGTTGGAGTTCGAGTCCTGGTGGCGGCAAGAATTTTCATTTCTCCATTTCTGGGGCCCACAGAGCCTCCTATCCAGTGGGTACCGGGGCTCTTTCCCTGGGGTAAAGGGGCTGAGGCGAGAAGTTGACCACTCACCTGCATCTTGTGCGGAGGTCAGGAAAAAGTGGATCTCTAAATTCACTCTCCCATACGTCTTCATCGCTTAGCGCTTAGTTAGTTAAGCACAGAGACCACTTGAACATTTCACAGGCCAAGGCATTATAACAATTATGGCAAGCCAGTTGGCTATAAAATGAAGTTCATAATTCAGGTTTAATTGCAGAAATACAAATCAGTTATATGAAATTCATGCATCCATAACGAAATAGCCTTTTAAAGTGTGAAAAGATACTTCCTTTTTACTGTTCTGGACTGTTATATCTCAAACTTTAAATTTTGACAAAGTCATAGAGATGTAGGAAGATCGGTACGTTTCTCTAGTGTGGCAAGGTTATAGAGGTTTAAGAGTACAAAAAACTGAACAGACCTTCACATTATCCAACAGTGTAACAAAATCATGTTATGTAAAAATTGATTTTATGAACAGAACATTTAGAGATCTGGCATTTACAACAGTGAATGGTGGGATGTGACATTGTGTAGTCCGGTAATAGGTAGCAACATTTTGGAGGAACCTCATGCTTCAGTTTTCACAGTAAATCGCACGAATGGTAACTTAGTACCCTACTGTATGGTGTCATCCTGGAACAGAGTGCCATAAGGTAATGTCTGTTGTTATATAACTTGACATCATTGAGACTGCATACTTAAAAAAACACTGTAATAGAATAAGAAGCAAATAACCATCAAAGTGTGGGGTTCTTAATGTAGTTTTGTCATTACTCCGATGACAACCCACTTCTTCGGAACAGTTTGTTGGCCCTGAAAAGGACTGTGGCTGCTGAGATGTTTGATCGGAGAGGTAGCGCGGCGCGCGCCGGCAGGAGAGAGGTTAGTTGCGGTGAGTGGACTGGTCGCAGTGCGGCAGATGGCGGAGGTTGCTTGATCGCCCTGCGGCGGATGCTGGTGAAAGGCTAGTCTTTGAGCGCGGTCGTAGGGGTCGTAGGGGTCGTAGGAGTGATAAGGCAGTGGCTACGCCAGGTGCCCAGTGGGTCGGACAGAGGCACGATCACCGGCGAGTCCAGGCGAGGTGCCCCAGTGAGTCGGGTTGTGAGCGCCGGAGAGCCGAGGCAGTCGTGCCTGGCGCAGCCTGCCGATGCCTCCGAAGACCGAGCGCTGGCGACGAAGCCTGCTGGCTGATGTTGCTTGGTGTAGCTTGATCGTAGACTGAAGTCAACTGATGTTGGCGGCAAGGCAAGGCAAGGTCATGTTACAACTGACAGACAGTTGGGGCTCATGACCAGATATTTCTTTTGAATGAAAGTTACTGTCCTGTCCATGTGTAGCGGCCTCTCTGACGAGAGGTCGGGTCTGTCATTTGTTAGTCAGTCTGTATTAATAAGTCCACTGTCTGTATTTACACATATTTACAATACACACTTATTTCTTATTTAAATGTACAATATATACACGGCCTCTGT